GACGCCAAATTTTTGTTTACGCCCAAAGAATAACGCGGTAATTGTAGCACAGCTTTGAGGTGTTGATTCCACAGAGAGACAAATTAAAAGAATAATAGAATGAACAAAGAAACTAAAGAATAATATTAAATGACTACTAGATAATAAAGATTAATTTTAAATACAAATTAAAGTGAAACAAGTGACTAACGAAAAAAATATTCAAATTTGACAAACAGTCAAATGTCGGGAATCCCTTGTACAAATATAATATTTTAATTATTCTTAATTTATTGAATAACTCAATTGAGAATTTAATTCCCAAAATTTTCAACCGGAAGATATAGATTTATAAACCAAGATTAAACCCAATATTACCCTTTGAAAAATCATTCACCACTTTTAAAATACGTAAATTATTATCATTATTGAGAAAATTCAACGACGACAATATACTCAAGAAAGCAATGTTGCAGCAAAGAATTAAATCAACATAGATAAATAATTGGTCCAACCATAATCAAAGAATTAATCCATTCATTAGAAAAAACATGACTGAATCCATAAACAGAATAAATTCTATGATTATCAGTAGAAGAAAATATCAACAATAAACTGAGAATGATAAAACAAAAGACTTTTAGTAATTAAAAATCAACTGCATAAATTAAAAATAAATAAAATATCTTCTACTGTGCAAGCTCATCCCTAACCTTACTTAGGAAATTAGTTACCCATAAATATGATGGACAACAAAAATCTCCCAAGAAAATAGAGCAAAATAGCAAGCATCGACATTTTTTCTGATCCTCCACTGCGTACGCCTACTGCCCAGCACACCGCCTCCTCCTTTTCTTTTTTTTATATCCTTTTCGGCCGTCCCCACCGGGGAAGAAACAAGGATTTCTTAAAAGTCAAAGTCCTTTTAAAAATTACATTTTCTTCCTTTCTTTTTCTAGCCCTTTTCACTTTATTCTCTCTTTATTCCAACTTCTCTGTTTCAGCCCCAAAGCCCAATTTTTGTGTAATTTGAAGAAGATAAAGTCCAATAAAAATTATAAGTGTCGGGCCCACGTGACAGCAACATCAATTTCAATCTTTTTATTCCATGGATTGCCATAAAAAAAATATAAAAGCCCAATAATAAAATTCCAAAAATATTAAACGTAAAGCCCAATTATAAATTATTTCTCACTAACCAATAATGTAATATTTAAGATTTAAAATATTATAAAATCATGCTCAATTATATCTCAGTGTGAATATATATTAAATTCAATAATATAAATTATATCTAATTATTTATATTCATATTTCAGCAATTTAATCCAATAATAGAGTATTTAAAATGCATTTTCGCGCACTTATCAGGAGGCTACATCATTTGAGATGTAAGTTTTTGAGTTTTTATTTGTGTTTCGTAGTTAGGGGTGTTAATTGAATTGAACTTTACGAGTTTAAGCCCAAGTTTGACAAGCTTATTTTTCTAAACAAGTCTAAAAAATTATTTAAGTTTGACTCATTTAAGACTCGAATCGAGTCTGAGTCGAAACTGAGCCGAATCTGAGTAACTCGACTATTTTACATATAAACAAATCGAGATTTGTGAACTTGAGTCCAGTCTTTTAGGCTTGTTTAGAAAAACGAGCTAAAAAAATTGTTCATGCTTAGTTTGTTTAGAATACGAGTCGAGTTTAAGCCGAGTTTTATTTGAACCGAGCCTAAGTCCAAAACCTTGTAGCTTGTCTTGATTAACACCTCTATCCGTAGCTTTTACTCCCTTGGAAGAATAATTTTTCCTCCAATAATGTAATTGGGGCCTAATTTATTGACTTAATTTGTTAACTTAATTCATTATGACTTTTAAATTAAGTCTAAGTCCCCTCAAATATTGAAACTTGGTGTTGATTCAATGGTTCTAATGAAGCTATATTATTAAATTAACAAATTAGGTCAAATTTTTAGATTCAAATAACATAACTCTATTGGCAAACGAGCACACTTGCCGACTTATATTCTATTGTTAACCATTTTTTTGTTAAGTAAAAAATTATAATAAAGAATAAATTTTTATATACCACTCCAACGAGACTCTCTATAGTTCCATGCATATCAATGACATCACACTCCGGAGGATTTAGGGTGCAATTTGAGCCTCTAATTTTTAAACTTTTGGGGATTCATTTAAAATTTTAAAATTATTTAGAATTTGTTTCCATTAAAAAGTTAGCCGAAGAAATTAGACGCAGATTTACATAGTTGCTGATACACTAAAATCGGATTCAATTGTGATCTGATATCATTGCATACATACATGTACAAATATTCTAGTTAAAATTGAGTGATTATTTAATAATATTGTGTTAGAGATTGAAATATAATTTATTAAAATTCAGCTCTGATTTAATTACTTGAATCATTCGACTTTTATTTTTAAAAAATTTTGAGATATGAACTTGAAGAACTAAGTTCTTTAGGTAGGTAGTTAGATTGAGTTCGAATCAAATTTTCGAATCGAGTTCGGATCAATTAAAATTCTACCAAAATTTGACAGTTGACAAGTCTATTAACTATTTATTTGTAAAACGCAACAAGTAGTAATGATGTTTGTTCCATCGTTATCTTCAACATAATAATAATTGTTCCTAATATGAAAAAATCGTGGCCCTGTCCCTGGCAAGTCGCATCTAGAAGATTCGCTTTCGAATCTAAGAGATCTTTGTTGTTGCCGACTTAGATCTTGGGTAATCTTGGGTAAAGGAAGAGGATGGCTAGAAACGACGAGCAATCACAGTCAAAGCTTGGCTCTAGCAGATACGTTAGCCAATACCTTGGCTACAAACCAAGGGATTAACTCGCTCGTGTGGTTCTTAGGGAGGTAGAAGCCATCCCATCCCATCTCATACTCAGAAGTACACTTAAAAAGCCAGGATGTAAACATGTATCTAGCTAACCTTTAAGCAACTTATACACTGCATAACATAACAGTAACATAACATGCATTTTTCATTTACAATTTTTTGGACCATCTTCGGGTCATATCAATTTGGTACCGACAAGACACCACCAAGCAGGTGCTCTTGTAACTAGTACTCTAGGTTCCCTAAGCAAGGTTCAATGGCATTGCCATGTTTCTATTCTCCTTTTTTTTTTTTTTTTTTTTTCAAACAGTCAAAGTATTGAGACCAGTATACACATATTTTAATAATTTTTTTTTCGATCAAAAGAAGTTATTTATGTCGGGGATTAGGATATTTATGAGAAATAATTTCTTCATGGTCTCACCCTAATACTCCGTTTGATATAATGGAAAGTTGGAAAGATAAAAAAGTTAGAAAGATAAATAAAATATTATATTTGGTAAGAAAAGAAAAAATATGAATGATAAAAAAGTTGATGGATTAATTTTCTTTCTAACTCACCAAAATTAGAAGGACAGTGGATGAAAAATTAATTATTTATGTTGAAATATATCTTATTTGTCTATATATCTTTTGATATATACATATATTATGTATACATTAATTTCATTTATAAATACAATGATAATATATATATATATATATTAAAATTTTAAATTAATAAAATATTTTCTTTCATCTTAATTAGGGGTGAAAATTTTCGATTAAACACGATGACACGACTCGAACTTGACACGAATTTGATTATAACTCGACACGAACTTAAAAATGACCTAACACGCGAACAAAAAATATAAAAGGCTCATATTCAGTTCAATCAATCAAACTCAAAATTGACACCATCAACCTGTTTATTTAAAAATAAATATTTTTTTTATTTTCTCGTTTGTACGGTAACACAAAATTAACATATTTAACTAATATTATAGACATAAAATGTTAATTATTTGTAACTATTTATTAAACACTGACATAATTATTATATATAAAAGATATTTTTACTTATTATTATTATATTTATTTAAGTAAATTTTTAGTTTGTAGAAAAAATATTAACATTGATTCAAGTAAGTGAAAATAGAATATTAGCATTAAATTTTTTATTCAAAATTTATGTGGATCAACACGAAAACGACAGAAAAATAAACAAATCAACTCGTAACTTGACACGATACAATTAATTAAATGAGTTGACTTAAATTTGACTAATGTTCGACACAAACTTATAATGATTCAACACAAATCTGGCACGACACAATTCAATTGTCACCCCTAATCTTAGTCAGCACAAAAAAAAAAAATTAGTTATTTTTATTTTTCATCCATCCAACTAAACACAAAGGAAGGAAAGTGTATCATTCATATTTTCCTTCCTTGAATGATAAAAAATGTAATATTTCCTGTTTTTCATCCTTCCTATTTTCCATCATTCCTATCAAATTGAACATAAGAGATTGTCAAAATTCGAACTCAAGACGTCTGAATTTATAGTCTATCATTGTTATCACTTGAACTATCATTTAGTATTGACATTTTTATTCTCAACTCAACAAGGAAGGCTTTTATCCTAACAATTGGGGTCGATTATATGAATAATGTTTTGCTATTTTGCTGATCATAATTTATGTAAGTTATCAAAGTTAATTTCGATCTATTTATATCTCTTGCATTGCAATTGATATATATCAAATTACTCTTACTAGGAAAAGTGACATACTTGGGGTTGTCATGTTTTTGTATGGTACAAAAAAAAAGCTATCAGAGCAACTCAATGAGAGCCACTTTAATAGAAGGGCAAGAGCAATCAACACAAAGGAATAGGCATAACCCCAACAGCAAGCAAACTTTATGAGGTCAATGTGCAGACAGACGTGCAAAAAAGTAATGCAAAAGCAAATAAAACTAAGTACTCCTCAAACCAACCCCTTTCTATCTCCTCTTCACTTTACAGTTTTTATTCGTCTTTGTCTGTTTAAAGGGCCCAATTCCAGCTCTAAAGTTCTGCAAATCCTTCAGATCTTCCAACCTAATTCTATTTAACATGTGGTTATTTCTATTAAACATCCTGATTGATCTTTCAGCTGTATACAGTACAAGCATTGAAGCAATTTGCTGAGTCTGGCAGAATAAAGTATATCACCACCAGTTTTACACTTTTTCTCACATTCATGATTTAAATAGGAAGCATTTGCAATTCTAGATGGGCTTCTTTTATGTAGTTAGAGACAACCAATTTGAGGATTCTGCTTTGGGATTGCATAGCTGAGATGGGTATCACTGGGGAGCTGGTTAGGAGTGTCTTTTCCAAAAGCCGGTCCGTTGGAGCCCATGAGAGCAATGTGAGTTGATTTCACTTTAGCTTACTGGTTTTCTCGAAGTTGCATTATAATTACATGCTTCTTGTATGAGCTAGTTGTCAATTCATGTGCACATCTAATCCCCCAGAGTTTGACTTAAATTCCAAGTCACAGTGTCCATATGCTTATGTTTCTGAGCTGGCTGTAACTATTTTAATTCTTCGTCTACTGACCGCCAGGGTATTGTTGAGGGGAATAACATTACTGATATTCTGATCCAAGCAGGTAAGGAGCAATGCAGGAGAAAAAAGAAGATGGAGCTCAGTTAGGTCTTACCTATGTGGTGATGAACTTAATTCAGCCATTGCAGAGGAGGATTCAGCTTCTGTTAGGAGCACCAGAGCTGCTACTACACAGCCTGAATTGAGTTCAGTACTTCTGGAAGAGGATAAAGCTTCTGCCAATAACTCTGAGGCCACTGTCACACAACCCATAATAGAGAACTTTACTGAAAAAGGAGAGATCCAAAGCAAAGAAACCAATGAAGAAACACAAGAGGAAAGGCAGAATTCAACGGCAAAATTGTTTCGAAAAGATGATGCAGCAATTGTCATCCAGTCAGCATTTAGAGGCTTTCTGGTCAATTCACACAGTCAGAAATTTATCTATACATCTTTTTTGTTGGAATAAAAAAAAAATTAGTCTCTTACAAAGTTTACACATTTTGCAACAATTTGATACATGTTTAGTGCAAAGCTCATGGTAGTGTTGTGGGTTCTGTAGTGGAAATTCAGACAAATATGCATTTGTATATGTTTATATTTGGTTGTCACAATGTTAGTTTCCTGATGAATATTGAAAGTAAGAACAATTGAACAAAGATAATGTTAAATACCAAACAATATATTTTACTTCAAATTATGCAGCTTCTCAATTCTGAGTTAAAAGATCCTTTTTTTTGAGCAATTTTGGGTGCTTATAATTTCAGGCAAAGCGTCGTAATGAAGGAATCAAGTTGGTGGATGCTGCACAAGAGCTCGGTGTAGAAATAGGAAGTCCAAGTAGGGTGTCTATAGGTACATCAATCGCAGTTCAAACTGCAAACTCGGCTGTAGCCTTCTCACTTCGAGAGGAAAGCTTTGCTGTGCCCCCTCGATTGCCACCGAGAGCTAGAACTCAAGTGCTGAAGCTACAGGTAAAAATGCCAAACTTTTATTGCTCCAATTCCTAAAAGTAGATGATAATGCCCAATAAATTGTCAGGGCAAGAACAATTGACAGTAGACCACATACATAGAAGTCATCAGTTGACATTGTTGGTGCCAGTTCAATTATACTGAACTGTAAAGGGTAGAAATCGCTACGGATCTCATCCCTCCACTCGAAGGATTCTGATTGACCTGGCGGCACCGAGCCCCAGTAGCCTTTACCTCTCTTAGCGATCTCATCCTTCCACTCGAAGGATTCCGGCTGACCTGGAGGCACCGAGCCCCAGTAGCCTTTACCTTTCTTCGTCAATAGGACCATTTTCTATAACAATCTTAAGACCCTTTCTTAAGGCAATCCCTTGCACTCAAAGGAGAAGGTACCCACTAGGCACCTAATCAGGTCGCTAGTGGGTACCTTCTCCTTTGAGTGCAATGACTTATATGCGAGAGGGGAAGACGACTCTCTTCCGATGTGAGATTGCCTTAGGTAAAGGGTAGAAATCGCTACGAACCTCATCCCTCCACTCAAAGGATTCCGGCTGACTTGGCGGCACCGAGCCCCAGTAGTCTTTACCTCTTTTCGCCAATAGGACCCTTTCCTAAGGTAATCCCACATCGGAAGAGAATCGTCTTCCCCCCTCGCATATAAGCCCTTGCACTCAAAGGAGGAGGTTCCCACTAGCACTTGATCAAGTGGCTCCTATTGGCAAAGAAAGGTAAAGGCTACTGGAGCTCGGTGGAATCCTTCGAGTGGAGAGATGAGATCCGTAGCGATTTCTACCCTTTACATGAACCATCTAAAACATTGAACAAGCAGATCAAGATTAAAGTAATCAATATTGAGTTATTTAAAGTGAAATTGTTTGATTTTCTATGTCGTTGACAGGAAGATTGGGATGATAGCACCTTGTGTAGCAGCATATCAGAAATGAGGATTCAACACAGATTAGAGGCAGCAACTAGGCGCGAGAGAGCTCTGGCTTATGCATTTGCACAACAGGTATATCTGAGAACTTAATAGATTCAAGGACAGTAAGACCAATGTCAAACTCAATTTCATTCGTTCTGTTTATAGCTCAGAATCTGTTCAAAGAAGAAACAAACCAAATCCGATGGCACAGACCCTAACATTGGTTGGAGCTGGCTAGAAAGATGGATGGCTACACGCCAACCTGAAAATTTCTTGATTGAAAACTACATAAGCAAGCAGCTTGAACCACTTCACACCAACCAAAGGCAAGGGATCAGAAGAAGTTCATTTGATATAACAAAAAAAGAAAACGAGAGTTGCGGATCTAATGAAGTATCAGTCCAATTCGACAGCATTTCCATAATAGCACCAGAAGATAGAGACAAGCTTAGGCCCTCGAAGAACAGGCTTAAGGTTACAAGAAGCCTATCGCGACAGAAAACTCTGCCGAGCTACCATTACTCAAACAAGCACATCAAGGTAGAAGTTCCCTTGCTGAAGCAACATTGGTTAAAACAACTCGGGTCCATATTTCACTAAACTATTGTTTCAATCTCTTTTCATTGTTTCACTTAGATTTTGAATTTGCTATAGGTGAGCAAGAAAATTTGTGCAAGGGATGATGAAATTGCAAAAAAGCAGAAGACCAAGCAAGCAGGAAGTAAGAGAGAAATGAAATGCAAAGATGCTACATCACAAGTGTCACCTGACATGTGACCAGAAACAACTGAAAGTGGCTTTTTTAATCTATGAACAAAAATAAGTTCCCATTACTCTGTTCAGAATGCAATTTCTAAGGGTGTAATTTGCTTCTAAATATATCATCACAATCCTCCTTGTCTGTGTTATGATTCAGAACTATCGATTAATAAACTGTAGTCCTTTGAACTTCACTCAGAAAGTTAGAATTACTAATTATGGCTTGGACTTGTTCATAACAAATTTATTTCTAAACATAGTAATTTTCTATGAAGGAAATAAAATCTTCCAAAAACATGGACTCTAAGCATGATAACAAGTAAATCAACCATTATGTTTATTGAAAATGGGCTGCTCCTTCGACCTGCAGTGGCACCTTCATGGACTTAGAATGTAGAAACAAATTAGTATCGTAGTTTCAGGGCGAAAAGGAGCGCAGCATTCATTCCAGAAAGGCATCGGAGAGGGTGAACTTGTTCTGTAAAAGTAGGAAACACTGAAGTTCAACAAATGCCATCTTTGATCCTTTTTGAGCCATCTTTGTCCCTGCCCAATATTTCCCCCTTGTAGCTCTACATGATGACATTGTCATCTGTTTGTTCACTTATAGGTTGTTCTGGTGTCTTTTTCTTTGTAGTGTTCTTAATTGAGTTGTTCTATTGGGAACTTTATTGTCTGTTTGTTCAGTTTTAGACTGGAATGGGGATGTTTTCTCCATACCGCCTTGATTGGTTTATTATTCCAGACTATGAAAATACCTTTTATTTACTTTTCAGCAAAGACTAATAATTTTTGTTTTACTAATTTTTTTACAGTGAATTATACTTTGGACCCTGAAAGAAATGTTACAATGTGACTCTTCTATCAGTTTCTATTACTCATTCCATGAACATCAATGGATAGATTTTAACGGAATAAGCAATGAAATGACTACATTACAACACTTTTAATGCATTAAGAATACAATGTGAGAAACCTCATCTTTGAGAGTACAAAGTGAAAAAGATTAAATCTTTCAGGGTACAAAGTAAGATTCTCCCAAGTTTTTAAACATTGTCTTCAAGCAGATCCATCTCACTGGTTAGCACCAAAAAAATTGGAATAAGATATGAACTAACGATATCAAGTTATGTCTCAATCAGGTTATAATTACCTACGAGGCAAAGTTGGCTCAAACCTTCGAGATTTTCGGCAACGAGGTCCAAAATTGAATCAAACCTAAAAAATTTGATATCATTCTAATTCGAATCTAATAAGTTGCAACTCGATATGTTTAAACAGTAATAGGACTTTAATCTATCATAACTCTCAGGAATGAATAGAAACACCACTTAGTTGAGTCAAAGAAAGGAGAAAATACCTTTTTACCAAAAAGAAAGAAAACACATTAGTTCGAAGAAGTGTATTATTAATGTCAAGAGCTCGGATCGAATCGGTATTGATACAAACAACGAATGGTTCATGAAGAATTACATTTTCCTTCAAAAGAATTGCCAGGATACTAAGCTACACAACATACTGTTCTGGAGAGGTGATGACCCAAATCAAAGCCAGCCAGAAAAATACATTCTTGTATGCCTAGCAACAAATATGTGCATCGCAACAATCTTACAATTCCGAACCCAGGGCATTTCGGGTCAACGATATACCAACTGGATAAGACCTGTGAATTCTTGTTTTCATAGTTGAAACACTTTTGACAGGATAATCGTCACCATCACTTTTCTTGGTGCTAATAATCAATTTCTCGGTTGCACTTGACTCATTGGTTTCAGCAATGAACTGAAGCCCCTGAAAGATTATTGTGGATCTGAGTCAGCTTTAGAATGGCAATACAACTTCACAGTGGAATGTTCAAGTTACTTGACATACCTTCGTTGAGTTATCCTCAAATGTAGCAGTTGAATGTTCTATTAGCTTAGCACCAATATCCTGCCCAATCAAGACAAGAAATGTAACTCAATAAACAGGAGAGAAAAGAAGACCAATAATATACCTCCATAAAAAGGAGAACCACGAGGATCCATGAAATCAAAATGCAAAATCCCCAAAACTTCAGGAAAAAAAATACTATAATTGGTGCAGGTATTTAGAGCAATTAGACCCAAAATGATGCCTACAAAATTTCTATGAAGATAAATCAAATGAAGATCAAAAGAATAAAGGCAGAAAAGCAGATAAGGCTTAGCACTTTTCTTTAGTTTGATAATGGAAAGAAAGTGGAGATATATTGAAAGAAAGAATAAGAAGGAAGTGCCCCTTATTTTCCCCTCTTTTTTACATTAGGCCAGGAAAGGATATGGTCCTTGATCCGATTTTGCCAAGAAGGTTGAGAACTGGAAATATAACAAGAAAATTAAAGGAAATGACCAGGCCATCCTAAAATGGTTGTCCAAATATGTTGTGATTAACCTTCAAATCAAATCACTGTTACTAAGTTTGCCTCCAGTACTATTTTGGTTTTCCACTTGGAATGATATGTACTGGTACCAGAATCACTCGCAAGTTCCATTTCAGGTCTATTGAACGAAAACTTTGACTACATTCCTCAAAGAAAATTGAGAAAATGTTAGTACCTACCCATATTCATCATCAACTGGAAGATGGGTCTTAGAGGTGTCACTTAGTGGTCAAAACATTTAAATCTAAGGGTAGCAATACTTATGTTCTGACTTCTGATGGATGTAAACAATTACAAGATTCTTTTATCAATATTCAAGAACTTTTCATAAATCTAAGTTACGTCATACAAAACTGACATCAAAGGAAAGCCAAGTTAATTGAAAGTAACATAAGCAAAAGATTTTATTGACAAACCAATCAGATGGAGGAATAAGACAACAAAGACATGCAATATGGACAATATTTGTCATGATAGCTTAGTAAAAAATCTCTATTTGATTGAAACCCTGAAGCTGAGATATATCCTTACTCTGTGACATTCACGTGTTCGGAAAACTAGCCCAAGGTCCAATTTTCAGAATTTATCACGAACACTTTGATTGGAAAAACTGATTTCAATCAAGGAAATCACTATGCTATTGTGATTTGTGAGTGCTTATTTAAGCAAACTTGTTAATTCTATATACAATGTGGAGCACGAATACTTCGGCTAAGTCGAAGTATCCGCATAAGATATCATATCAAATATAATACTCATCCGATATGTATCGCATACACACTATACGTACTCAATAATTAATAAGATAGTTATTAATTTTTGGGTAAGCCTCAGATACTTCTAGGTATTTAAGATGAATATTCCTCAGATATGCAAGGAGAACATGGAGCTAGACACTTGGGTGGTTCTTAAATATTATCTACTACCATATGTCAAAAGGACATACAATGGGTTAGTTACATCATATATCTTGCCAACAAGAAGTTCAAATGTTGATTTCGATTCCTTTATTAGTCACGTTCATTTTGTGGCTCTATTATGATGAGAGGGATTTATGCTATTTTGAAAGAAATAATTGCTTATTTTTGGATTTATCTGTAAAGAATTTAGTAAAAAGTATAGTTGTCAAATAGTTACAGGATAATAAACATGTAAGATACATTTTCACATATGTATCTTGACGTCATTGCCCCTATAATTGTAAATGCTCCCATAGTAATAACATATTTTGGTTCAGGCATTTGCTCATATAATCTCACTAAAGAAGGAGCCATTTTCATTGTTACTGTTCCGGCTGTTAAAATTAGGTTTGCTTGTCTAGGAGTCAATCTTGGTACTAGTCCATAACGAGTGGTAAGGCAGGGGACTCCAAATCCTTTTTCCCCAGTTCAAATCTGGGTGTCGCCTGATCAACAAAAGACTCAAAATCTCGTATTCTGTTCTGCCTGTTTCTTCCATATTTTGGACCCTAGCTCCATGGAACAATATGCTACTGGCATACTGCCGAAACATGGAAGAATTGAAATCTTCCTGTATGAGATCCTAACAACGTCATGGCATGCTCAATTATCTCTTAATCGAGTCACACACCAAGCTTAGCAATTATATCAAATGGTAAATTGAATTTTTATTCAACCCTATAGAATTAAGAATTAGATTTGTAATGAGCATAACGGCCCTATTGTTCCGACGGAGAGAAGAACCTATGATTAGCTTTTCGGGAAATTTCCAAACGAACAATTTAATTTTTTTCAAGTTTTGTTGCATCATGGTATCCATATTAGATCATACATTTTTTCTGTATCTATATTCGTGTTTCCTAGTTGTGGACTAATTGAGCAAAGAATTCAAGTAGATTAGGAAACTTTGTGCAATTGTGTATTGTGATTTTCTATTTTTGGTTGTCCTTTGTTTTTTCCAAGGCAAATAGAGTTTATTTCAAGAAGAACAAGCTGTGTAAGCAATGAATCATGTAAACCTCATGATCATTTTGGCATAAAGAATCTCTCCTAAAAATTTGACCTGAATAAGTTTTGGATTTACTCCATCCTTAATGTCTCCAGCTACATGGCACAAATACGACAGACCTGAAATAGTCATGTCCTGTATGACCAAGAAAAGATAAAAGGAAACAGTTATTAATTGCCAAAACACTAGTAAACTTTTCATGGAGGAATGAATTGTTTATTACAGAATCAGAAATGCTACCTGTTTGCTTTCAAGAACTTCAAGTTTTCCTTCCTGTTGAGTGGATCAACAACAAAAGCATTAGAAAAGGACCCATATGATAAAGTAGATCCACATTCAGCTTGCCAGATAAACTGTAAAATTGGTATAACTAACCAAACCAGACACCATCTGATGAATTGATTCAATATCAAAACCAATTTGATTAAGATTGGACTTCACCTCATTTACCTGCATACAAACAATATTAGCGCAAAATAGCAATAATTAAAATGTATATGTCCCCTGAAGCAAGTCTATGAGATCACCGTAACTTCTTCTCCTAAATTTCCTCAAATGCAAAAACAAATCCAGCCGGTGTAGATCATACTGTTATACTAATGCATGACTGTAGCATGTCATTGCATAATAAAGAACATTGGAGAATCTAAGCATCTCAATTAGTTGATTTCATATTTAGGCTAATGCAAATCCCTACCTGTCAACTCTATCTCCGTCACTGTTGCTGATTTTTATATTTTGATTTATGTCCATCAACATCAATATCAAAAGTATGCAGCTTTATTTAGCAAAAAGGTCCTACCTATGTAAGATGTTGATACAAAACTGTCATTTTTTCTTTAAGAAGTTTACCATATCATAATCATATGAAATATGCAGACCAAAACATAATGAGAGGATCAGTGTTGGTACCTTCCACACGATGGATGGGGGAAGGGGTGGGATGGGAGATTTCCAGGATAATCAAACAAAAAAAAAAAAAAACAATTTTCTGAAAAGATTAAATATATAAAGAATGAGAAGGATAGAAAAATGAGAGGGTGTTGACAATGTTTTTCTCTTACTATAATGACTTAATGAGTGATGAATTAACCATGCAAGAATAAGTCAAATGAAACTAAGTCAGACAGGATACTAAGAACTCTTGCTTGTATGGAAAATGTTTCACCGTGTGTGAATACATAGATACGTGTAGCAAACTAAAACCAGAAAAGTGCTCCCTACATCGTTTGCAATAAGCTTAGATGTTTCCTTCTGTTCATCCAGCTTCCAGTCCAAATTTTCCAGCCTCTTTGTTAAATGCCTCTTTGTTGACTGCAGAATGGATATTAAAACAATAGCCAAGTGCACAGCTTAGCACAAAAGCTGATAACTTCCCTGAGAAATATAAGTTAATACACATCAACCCAGTAATTATCCTACTTACAGTAACTGCTTCAGATACATGCTCCAGCTGTTTTGACACAGTTGCAACAGCATTTGCCATATTATGCTTTGTCACAAACATAACATCAGAAAAGGACCAGCCCTGCAGATTAAATCACCGAGATAATGTAAATACCATTACCATTAGACCACTATAATCCAAAGTCCAAACATAGATATGCTTATAAGGGCACATCAAATAGAGAAAATTTAGCACCACAAAAGTATAATGGCTTTTAGTGCTACTAGTAAATTCTTGCCTTCCACCACATGTAACAATATCCCATTGCTCCAAGTGCTGCGGCTGGCATTAAGTAAGAAGCATAACTCCCTGTACAAACGAAAGGAGACATGAGCATCTCTGAATAATAGATGATGTTGGGGACAAAAGCTTTTGAACGTTACAAAATATATGCAAATGGTGCAAACGAAACCTCAAACGCATCCATTATAGCCAGTGATTGAGGAATAGTAGCAAATACCATAAATTTGAAATTTTGGGTAAATTGAAATTTATGAAAGATTATGATCAAGTGGTATGAGAATTTCTGACTCGTGCTTAATAAGAGAGTTTTTGATCAATTACTCACAATCTTGAAATTTAACAGATGGTATTATACTTCGTGCATGTTTCTCTGTATATGTGAGGGTGCGTTTGTTAATTGTTCCCGGTTAAAGAACATATTAAACCAAAACATGCAAGATAATTCAACTCACATACCACTGGGGTAGAATTTCCATTGTAAATGGTTATAGGTCTAGATGTTGTTAACTCCCTGATCTCTTGCGCCAATTGTCGTATCTGAAGGCGAAGGCCCATAAAAAATAAAAAGAGAATGTGAAAAAAAAATAAGGCTTTCATAAGGTCAATTAATATTCATCACTACAACTGCAACTGATCCTTTGCAACATTCCAGCTATAAATTAAGACATGTACAACATTTTTGACAATATTAGTTTGGATGCCTATGTACACCACATGCCCAGCATAAGAGCGCAACTTCTATCATGCTATCCATATATTACTCTTTTCTTCAAATTCCATAGAAGAGTTTTAATTACATAACAGACAAGCATTGAAAGCCAGAAATAATTTGCACAACTCAAGCATTTCATGATGGAAAAAAAGAAAGTAGAACTACAATTATGTTTACATGTCTCTGTGCAAGTATGATCCACGATTGCATGCAAAATTATTGCTCAGCTTTTCAACACCATAAAATTGCTGACTAGCAAACCCCACAAAGTTGAATCTCTAGGCAAATAGTTTGAACTTTGAAGTACAAATTCAATTCTTGATTCCTTATATGACAAATCTTAACATTTATAATAGATGTCTGAGGGTCCGTTTAGTTATAAAGAAAAGAATGATGAAAAGTGAAAGTAAAAGAAAGAAAAGTGAAAAATATGTATATATTATTGCATGCATTTGGTTAACATGACAAATTTACAATAAAAATGTAGGAAAATTTCATTATGTTGTTTGAAAAGCATGAAAGTTGTAGGAACATTTTGACAATTGTCTAAATCACCCTTACCAATATAAAATTTAGTAATGCAAATATCAAACTTGGGCTAATCGAACTTGCAGTAGCTTCCACATCATTAGTGCAAACTAAATTATTTTTGTTAAACCACATTGCTGTGAATCTGGTTAAGCTCTGAACTCAATCAAGTACTGGTGTATACAATGAGTTCAACCACCATATAAAACATAAAGAAGAACTTCCAATATAGGAGATTTTGGTTGAATAAAACAGGGGCAAAATAAAAAACAAAATCGGAGAGTCCGATTTTCACAGGGAAGATAAAATCTTCATGAATAATTTGCAAGAAACCCAGCATTTGCAGGAAAGTTTTGCCTAAGCGGGAAAAAAATATCTGGTAAGTTCCAATTCTTGATAAACAAACGAAAGAAAAATGGGATTTTTTTCTCTTTCCGTCACTTTCTCTCAATCTCTCGCTAAGCAAATGAAACTTTAGAGTATTATGCATCTACAACATCAATTCATAGAGGTCTTAAAATTAGAAGATTTGTTTCAAAAGATTGAAAATTTGTCTGCCTTTTAAGTCCACTTGAACAGACTTTTCCTTACTGGTAGTTGATTAAATAATCCATTTGACGAAGTAACTCCTATGATATTATATAAAAGTAATACCTGAGCTGCAAGAAGTGCAGTATCATACTTCCCAGGTGAGATCTCAGCTTCATTCACACCCTTCATCAATCTTGAAGCTGTGAAATGACATCTGACAATTTCCCACTCCTCAAAATAACCGAACCAGTCAAACCTAGATGGCAGTGAGAAGCATAAGAAAATCTCCAAGCTGTTAAAAGGAATTTGTGGCTTACTTGCTTTAAAAAAAAACACTGACGAAATAAGAACTGA